TATGCGCTATAGAAATATCGTATAATAATACTAACAAAGGCACTCATTCTGAGCGAAGACATGCGAAGAATAACTGAATATATATGTTGAGCGCTTAGGTGGTTGGTGAAATATTTCATGTATGAATTGTATTGAACACTACAGAAGAGACTGTCGATCACTTAGCAATGAGATGAAAGGTTTACAGTGAACTTTACCTGAAGAGTAAGACGGCAAAAGATGGTCTTCATGCTCTGAGTGAATGAAAGAGGGAGCCGGTGAATTTGTTCCGCCACCTTTAGCACTATTCCAGCAACATCATAGCTAGGAATACCAGAATGCCTCCATACAGTGTACCCATGTGAGGAATCGAACCCGGATCTTCGGCGTTCTGGTGGAACGCTTGAGCCACTGGACTACCCCACCGTCCCTTTGGTCGAGTACATGCCATCGTTTTCTAACGGTACCCCGAGACTTGATTACTTACAGGTCGTTGTGATATAGCTATGGTACTACTAGGAACATTAACAACATTCACTCGTTCATATGGTTCGATTCTGGCATTATCAGACAGGGTTTGCCTGGTCCAGGCACAGTTTTCACACAGCTGTCTGGAACGCAGATACTTTGTGGGGTCCCGACATAAAACACATCTGTAAGTCACAGACATGTAAGTACACAAACAACATATTTTTAAACCCCACACAGATACAACCACCACAGTGAAAACATGTTTTTGTCATAAGCCTAAATACTGACGCAGGCAGATATAGATCACTGACGCCCAAAATAACTCCTCTGACAATCAATCACCGTTTTGAATGTTTCGACATAGTTATAAAAATAGACAATTTCATAACACACAGAATTGGAAAAATATGGAAAAATACGGAAAAAAGGCAAGTCTTAAAGTACACCCATTTTAGATGCTGTGACGAATTTTACACCCTCCGTGAAGTAGACGTGCAAATTTGCGACCAATCTCAGAACGAGACGTGCGAGCTTAGAGACTATTTTCCTGTCAACCTATTACAGTCTCAAACCAAGAGACGGGGGTGTCATGGCCGTAAACTCTCGTTTTAGAATTTCAGTCCGCAGACACTTCTTTAAGTGTTTTCGGGACGCTGCCAATTCCGTGTCATCAGGTGACAAGATGTTTTTCCCCAACCGCCTTGGGGCAATATCGGTGGCGAGAATTGATGAGCTGGGTACATACATAAACAAGGTTTGTTTGGGGAATTAGTTTAGGAGTATTCTGGTTCTGATGTTAATACCCTTAGCAACAATAACACAACTTATTATTGGATCTTTTAAGAGCACACGTGGGTTGCAGTGGCTTGTGTGTCAAGAAAGTTTTCGAAGAACGTAGTTTGCGTGAGATATGTAATATTGTTTTACGCCGCACCAAGTCAGGGTCCAAATATATCGGTTTTTAAAGTTTCCGTTCATCTTTTACATAAGTTATGTAATGTTCAAAGTCAGACTATATTCCGTGATGTATTCTTATCTGAACTGATTGTAAAAGTGAACATTTGTATTGTTAAAAAGAAACGGTGAGTGAGTGAGTGAGTGAGTGTGTGTGTGTGTGTGTGTGTGTGAGTGAGTGAGAGTGAGTGCGTGGATGGGTGAGTGAGTAGTCGAGTGAGTGGGTGGGTAGTTCAATGAGTGAGTGAGTGGGTGGGGTTGGTTGAGTGAGTGAGTGAGTGTGAGTGGGTTGGTGGTTGAAATGAGTGAGTGGGCGAGTGGGTGAGTGCGTGAGTGAGTGGTTTGGTGAATGAGTGGGTGGGAGGGTGGGTATGAGTGAGTGAGTGAGTGAGCGGGCGAGCGCGTGGGTGGGTGATGATGAATGAGTGAGTGAGCGGGCGAGCGCGTGGGTGGTGATGTGAGTGAGTGAGTGAGTGTGTGGTATGAATGGGGGTGGGCGGTGGTGGGGGTGGGGTGGGTGTGGGTGAGTGAGTGGGTGAGTGAGTGGGTGGGTGACCGAACTTATACAGGAACACTCAAACCGACCAGCAAGATCCTCATGGGCTACAAATGGAATATTCTTGAAAGGGACGTGGAACCATTTTTAACTCCACAACCACAATACAGAGGTGTCGCTTACAGTGGTGTGTTCAACAGATCTTGTGGTATTGCTTCAAGCTAAAAGTAACATGACAGCTCTGGCGGTGAGGATTTATCTGTTCGAGATGACTGTTAGGTAAATAGTACCGGTTCTGACCCCCAGCAGTAAGTGTCACGTGGTTTACATAGGGGGGCTAAGTAGATTTGTCGGCCTATGTGAGATAAACTGAAGTAAGAGCTCCGAGGAAAAGATCCAGACACCTACAAACAACAGATATGTGAGATTGTGGCACCTCGAGTGGCTACAGCATTGCCAACCGATGTTAAACAATACTCAGTCATATTGTACACTATGTTTTGTAACTTGGATCTTAGTTAACGCGGGGCGGTGGGGCAGCCTAATGGTTAAAGCTAGACTAACGCTTAGTCTCTGAATATGTATATAATTTCGATAGTAACAAACAATCCCTTTAATTTGAAAAGGAGGTGAGGTGAGGTGAAATCTGGTTTTACGTCGTGCTTGAGAATATTTCGCTCATATGACGACGTGCATGCGTGTGTATGTGTATGTGCGGCTGCTTGTACTAGCCCAGACTGAAGCTGGTTTTATAGTGCTAGCCCACTAGAGATACCATGCGGCAGTAAAGCATGAATACTCCACTCAGACACATTATACTGACTCCGAGCCGACCAGTCCTTGTTGTACCCATTAATGCCGAGCGCCAGGCAGGGACCAACAAGTACCATATTTTAACGTCTTTTGGTATGACGCGGTCGGGGATCGAACCCGCGACCTTCCGCTCTCCGGGCGGACGCTCTAACCACTACACCTGGGAGGCGGTCCAATTTTAAAAGGAGCCCCAGTGAGGTGGTTTGCTTCATTTAAGGCTTTAGCACTGCATGAGTTTTAGTTTTACGCCGCTTTTAGCAATATTCCAGCAATATCATGGCGGGGGACACCAGAAATGGGCTTTACACATTGTACCCATGTAGGGAATCGGGTCTTCAGCTTGATGAGCGAACGCTTTAACCACTAGGCTACCCCACCGCCCCCTTTAGCACTGCAGGTAGGGCAAGGCAGTAGAGAAAATAATGCGGTTCAGGGACTATGACACCGACTCGGTTAAGGCGTTCGCTCGTCACTTAGAAGACCCGGGTTCGATTCCAAAAAACGGGTACAGTGCGTGAAGCAAATTTCTGGTGTCCCCCGCCGTGATATTGCTAGAATATTGCTAAATGCGACGTAGAACGCAACTCACTCGCTTGGTTGACGCAACAATTTAATCAGCAATACTTCAGCGATATGACGGCGTTTTGTAAACAATCGAATTTGGGCCAGACAATCCAGGGATTAAACTCAAGGGCATCGATACTGACATACAATGACATGTATCAACCAAGTCAGCGAGCCTGACCCAAAATATCGGTAGTATGGGCTGCTGAAGATCAAATCTAACCCGGATCTTCACCTAATCGCCAGCACACAAAGTCAGAGAGCAACTGAGAGTCTGGGTTCAAATTCCGGGACCCAACCTAACAAAAGTACTAGAATCTGTATTTTACTGAGAAAGTGTAATCCCAAACTTAACATATGTTACAGCGATCCCGTTAGTCGCCTCTTACGACAAGCAATTGGGCTGCTGAAGATCAAATCTAACCCGGATCTTCACCTAATCGCCAGCACACAAAGTCAGAGAGCAACTGAGAGTCTGGGTTCAAATTCCGGGACCCAACCTAACAGTACTAGAATCTGTATTTTACTGAGAAAGTGTAATCCCAAACTTAACATATGTTACAGCGATCCCGTTAGTCGCCTTTTACGACAAGCAATTGGGCTGCTGAAGATCAATTCTAACCCGGATCTTCACGTGTTGCCCAGTAAGCAACCATATGTTTTATTCATTTTCATCATTTCTGTTCCTGTGCTCGTTGTGGGCACTAAACATATTCATGAAATAAACAGATTTGCTATTAATATTCCTAAGAGTGCACTCCTGGCAAGGGAGATATATTTGAACCGTGTCATCATGACCTGTCCGCGATATCTGAGCTCCACTAAATGAGTCTCATGAAGTTGTTTTATGTTGGCCATCATGACGAAACTAATCGAGTTTTTATTTGTATTGATATTTCTTCAAGTCTCTTAAAAGACATTTTAAGTTCATATTCATGTCAGATCCAGCGTCCGTCTATGTTTGAATATGTAGATACAATCGTTACACGGATATACTGACATTTTCTGTGGAGTTACTTAGCGAGTTCAACGCAGCATCGGCGATCTTGCCCTTCACTTTGGGGATGAGACGTTGAGTATCTTCATAGCGGTAACAGGGGCGGTGGTAGCCTAATGGTTAAAGCGTAGGCTCGTCACCCTGACGACCCGGGTTCGAATCCCCACATGAGCACAATGTGTGAAGCCCATTTATGGTGTCCCCCGCCGTGATACTGCTGGAATATTGCTAAAAGCGGCGTAAAACCCAACTCACTCACCCATAGCGGTAACGTGATGGCGCGTTACGCCTCATGCCCGGGTTCGATTCCTCGCATGGTAATAAAGTGTGACTTCACTGTTCTGATATTGTTGGAATGTCCAATGAGATAGTTGTTGCTAGGCAACAGAAACTGAGTCTCCAGCCAGCAGACGTTACGATATTTCGATAATCTGCTGTAAACGCTACATTCAGCATTATTCCAGCTATGTAACGGCGATCTGTAAAACATTGTCCGTCTGTCAAGTGATTGACATCATAAACAGCGATCTGCGCAGCTGGAATACGATGATGTTCAACCCAAGTCAGCGGGCCTGACCCGATCCCACTAATCGCCTCTTATTACAAGCATGGGTTGCCGAAGACCAAATCTGACCCCTATCTTGGGGGCAGATGATCCACATGTAATGGGCAATTCCTTCACCACAAAGAGGTTAGACGACGGTGTTTAAATGAGGCAAAACTCACCTGTCTTCCCTACTCCGGGCGTTCCCAGGATGACCAGACGACAATGGCCGTCTTTGGAGTCGCCATTAGGCGGTTTCAGTCTGGTACCATTCATCTTGTTGCGCTTCTCTTCCACGGAGTGCCGTCTGAGGACGTTCAGATAGCCAGACGACACTTTCAGGCTGTCGTGCTCCTTTTTGGCGGGAAACGTCACACCTGTAACAGACGAAACACAGATAAGATAACAATCCTGAAAGTAGGTATCAAGTCCAACTAACATGCCCTTGAAGCATTTCAATCTGCATATTACGAGGTTCAGTCAAAAAGTACTCGGCCTCACCTAGAAAATGATACAAATGCAGCTGTTCTATGTTATATTTTTCTACATGGTATCTGGCAACCTCAAGCAAATTGGTTTGCTATGTTCTAGCCTATGTACCCCCCAAAAACGCAAAATCTGCAATAAATGCATCACAAACTTTAGGAAACAAAATATGCGAAAAACATTTTGTGTGTATGATATAGGTAGAAGTTCGCTAGACTTAAACATAGATATTAAAGTGCATAAAAAAGCAATTTAAAATTACAATCGCTTGTTAAAGTGACTCCCTCCTTCATGTTACTGAAAGAGCTTGTTTTGGAGACACTGCGCATGCCCAGCCTCTCTCAGATGACGTAATCATAAGTACATAACGTATTCTAATGTTTTCACTTATTCATACATGATGCCAAGGGTTCAAACTAAATACTAAATGGTCACACAAGTGTCAGCTCTCAATATATTGTAAACAGGACCAGCTTGAATATCTGAACACAATGTTTTTGAAAGACTTAAATGGGGGTGTTATAAACAGGACCAGCTTAAAATCTGCCCTCGTTTTTGAAAGACTCGTCTAAATATAAATCAAACAGTCCAAATCTTTGAACGTGGATTATGACGGGAAGTCATCAGATACTGTACTGAACATATGATATCATCTGAGGGCATACCATTATCAAATAGGTACCAAATGGCAGATCATTTACCATTTTCTGCATTGTTTTTAGAAATAGTATACCCCAATGTGTTATGATGACTAATATCTCGTTAACCGCATTAACCACATATGTGAAATTTTGGATATGACTTTGCTAATGATTCCTTCAAAATAAAATGGAAGCTTTTCAAACCTTGGACATCGAGAATACAGTTAGGCCGAGTACCTTTTGACCGACCCTAGTACATACCCATGGTCAATTGCTTGCCAAACAAACAAAACGTTGCTTGGCAATACCAAACAAACAAAACCTTACTTGGCAATACCAACCAAACAAAAACTATCAAAAAAATACGTAAACCTAATTTATTGCTTGTAAAAATGGATACCCCGCACAACCGACTTTAAAGCCGCTTATTCTAATCTAAAAGTTGCAACTTATAAGCAACTTCAGGTCTAAACTATTTTTCAATTCCTTTACATTGTATGAGGTCGTGTTCGTTTACGCCAGTCTTAGCCGCGCCCAGCAATATTTCGTCCCGGAGACGCCAAACACAGACTCCAACAATGAGTAATGGCTATCTTTATGCCTGTGCCCAGATGGTTAAAGTCGGGATCGAGTAGTCAGGCACTGTAACAGTGTTCCATCGGACGTGCTGACAGATGGCCATACTATCACTCACCGGTTCATCGAGCCAAGCCTTGAATATGATTATTTTGAGCCCCTGTTAAATAGATTTATTACTGTTTGAGCATAGGGCATACACATATATGTCATAACTGAAATATACGTGGATCTCCTCGGCACGAAAGGTCCCTGACATTAGTGTGTATCGGGTGGTTTGTGTGACCTGGATTATGGTCACGGAGCAGTTTTCTGTCAACCATTGCGTTATATGCCTCACAATGCAAAATCTTGATGAAGTTGACATTTCGGATTAAGATGCGAGACACTCCTTAGTCTGTTACATTGAAGAGGTACATATATATATTCGATATTTATATAATATCCCCTGCGGCATGATTGCAGTGAAGTAGTCGAGTATGATGGGCAGCTAAGCACAGTAATGTCACTCGAGAATGAAACTCGTAGCGCTAAGATAGTGATGTAAAACGAGGCTCTGGACGAGGGTCAATTTAGGCAATTTTCAAGCTTCAGCAAGGTCTAATCCCTGACATTGTACCCATTCTAGGTGACTTACAAGTGTTGCAACCAGAGGGCAACCACAACGTCTGAATAAAGTACTGAATAAATTCATCGATCATTTTATACAATTTCAATTTGAAAACGAAATACAAAACCGCCATATCACTATCACGTGACATTGTATGAAATAATATAGCAATAACAACCTCAATCAATACCAAAACGGAAACGATAACAAATCTCACAACGTTTTAAAGACTTTGCCTCAAGGGTTTATATTTCTAACACTTTTCGTTTTAAAAACACAATTTTAATACTTTTTGCGTTATCTAGTAGATTGGCAGCGAAATTCAAATAAGATGTTTGGGTGAAATCATTTCGCCTGATTATCGAAAAAATAATGTCGACTTGCAGAACCGGAATTCTCCTTACAGCTCACATTGCATACTCCATAGCAGCGTTTTTAAGTAAACTACCTCATCCTTCATCCAGGTCTAGAATTTAATTCCGATTAATTTGAAATAACAACGTACTCGTACTTGCGATGTAGAAACTGAACTGATTTGGGTGAATTCAAAGCAAGCAAAAGTGGCAATTATGCGGAACGGGAACTTCACGTTTTCACCGTGAAGCGCTTTTGTGACGGAAAGGCAGAGTAATTATTGCAGCATATTTTTATGACGACGCTGTGGGGAAAAATTGAGGCACTTTACCCAGAATCAATCCAAGCATCGACGACCTCATTAAAGCGCAATCGAACTAAACTCCACATCTGTTGATCGAGCTGACAGTTGCAGGCGCTAATAGGGACGTTTCGCGCTCAACCATACTCATATTGTGAAGTGCTTTTCAGTTAAAAAATTCTGTTAAGGTTCTGGATTTTAATGAATATTATTTTTGTAATATATGAAAAAATAAAAACTGCTTTTTCACAGAATTAACAAGACGATTGACTTTCTGAGATGCATGACTTTCGCGAGCTTGCAAAGCTGCTGTCGACAATTTAAGACGAGCTAGTAATTGCAAGGAAACTTTGGAGGGTCTCTTTTCTCTTATCTAACGAAACTATCAGACAACTGGACAAGCTTAAGTTATTGGAAACCTAATTCCTTTATTACAGCACTCAAACTGATTTCGCTTTAACTTCAAATTTGTGAGTTTGTTTATATTTACAAGCTATTTGTTTGTTTATTGTTAAAGGCAGAGAGTTTAGTTTTACGCCGCACTCAGCAATATTCCAGCTATATGGCGACGGCCTGTAAATAATCGAGTCTGGACCAGAAAATCCAGTGATCAACAGCATGAACATCGATTTTTGCAATAAGGGTACCATGACATGTGTCAACCAAGTCAGCGAGCCTGACCACCTGATCCCGTTAGTCCCCTCTTACGACAAGCATGGGATGCTGAAGACCAATTCTAACCCGGACCTTCACGCGTCATTTACAAGCTAGAAGATGGAGATAAAGGCAAGGGAAGCCATGGCCCTCCTTCCAGTCTTTCACAAATCGATTCCTTTCAGCGTGTGGACATACCAGTCACACAGCCACCGTGTTTGGATGTCAACAAGATGATAAATTCAAGCACTCAGAACAAGCTGTGGATTGCCAATCTAACAAAATACGTGACACTTCAAAATACCCAGCATAAAACCAGTAATGATGTTTTTATTAAAAAAATTAAAAAATCGAAACTTCTCAGCTCCGAACAGTGGTTTGATTGACACACTCAAAGTGCAGTCATTACCACACTATTCACACTTCAGCATCCTTCAGAACGGTTCGACCTTTGCATTGACCTCCAACAAAGATTCTGACACGCAGATAACGGCTATCAACGTAACGTGAGTATTGCCGCTTCTGACGTTTATAAGAAGCTGCTTGTTGAAACAACACTCGCCATGATGCTCTATATTTTGACAAGAATAGTCGATGACGATGAGAAATGTTTTAAACGTGAAATCGACCCTAAGCTGTTATTGCATGGGGGGTTTGCTGGTCGTATTAAGACCTTTCGCATCCCATAGACAGGTGAAGTATTAATGTATAGATTATGTCTCTCGGGATAATTACCGTGAATGAAGTTTTATGTGAAAGTGACAAAACTCATACCGTATTCGTAAGAAATCACTGCTCAAAGAAGATTTTGTAGTATGATTCCGAATATATCATAATAATATGTTTATGAACCACTATGAAACAGTGATGAAAAAGTCACAAACACATGCGTAGGCAGGCAATTGTTCACTTGTTGGTTAGCCGATCTGCATATTATATTAGATTTTTTACCTAGTTATTCGTGACTTTTAGTAAGACATTTTTGTGTCATACTGTGGCAAAATACTAGTGTACCAAGCCTTACCAGAGGCACCCGTCACAAACACATGCGTAGCCAGGGCAATTGTTCACCTGTTGGTTAATCGTTCTGCATGTTATATATTATATAATTATATTTGTGACCAACATATTTGTGACTTTTAGTATGAACATTTTTGTGTCATAATGTGACAAACATAACTTATCAAAGCCCGTGCATGTAATATAACTATTAATATACAATCTCTATCTATAGGTAACATACTTGTGCCTATACCGGTGAAGAGTAAGGGACTTACTTTATCAATGTCCCTGCAGCGGGGAACAACAGGAATGGCCGAGCAGATAATAATCTTGTTGGGAATAAAACCATTGCTTCCACGGAACGAATTAAAAGCGTCAGCCTCTTGACAACCCTGGGTACAATGTGTGAAGCCCATTTCTGGTGTGTCCCCCGCCGTGATATTGCTGGAATAGTGCTAAAAGCGGCGTAAAACCATACTCACTCACTCACTCACTCTTGACAACCCAACCGCTCCTTCACTCATGTAGACCAACACATGCGACACATATGCCGGACCACCAATATTATACGGTGTCCCCCGAGGTGATATTGCTGGAATATTAATATTGTTAAGCGGCGTAAAACCATACTCATTCAGTCACTCCAACACTAACCTGACAAATACAGATAAAACCGAAATATCTGTCAGCTAGCGGAGCAAAACTCAACTCAACGTGAAATGCATTTGTTCTATTGAAGAACACAGATGTTAA